AAAAAGAAACTATGAAAATAATCTTATTTATACCTAATTCTACTTAGAATAGTATTACAAATCCATTTTTCCACAGCTGTTTGGACTCCTTTGAAGAAGTTGTGATTACTTTTACCCTTATATCTACTTCAGTAGCCTATTAAGATCTGATAGTTGATATTTCAGAAACAGAATGCTTAATTTCACAATTACTATTCAATTACAGATTCAGTCAAGTGGACTTATTTTCAATTTAGAAACTAATTAACTGAATTTAATGATATTTGGCAGTTTTCAGAATTACCTTAAATTATACTAAAATTTCATCTTTCTTTGAATTCTAGCTTTACTTTCAAGTTTAATTAATAATTTATAATTCTAATTTATATATTTTTTATGAATTTAGTTTGACTAATTTCTAATTTAATGATTCTTCTGATGTTCATAGAGAGGATGATAAAAAATATTAGAAAATGTAACTCTTTGGAAGTCAGCTTTACAATTAATGTTTATTTAAGTTTTTTTTTTGTTAAAGGCTAAACATTTTTAATGTTTTCATGGATGGCTAAAGGTAGAAATCTCCTTCGCTTGCATTCCGATATTTGATGATAATAGAATTCTTCTATTATGTGTGATTTAATTATGAAGAAGAAAATGGCAGATTTATAAATTTTGGAATGTAAAGATTATAAACATAGAATGGATGTGAGAGTAAAAATGGTAGTGATTGTTTTTCGGTAAAAAATAAGTTGTTGAGATGTTGTAATGTTTAAAGAACTACAAATATATTTAATAAGGTATATCATATGTATAAAGATGGATAAGACGGTCTCACTGTAAGTCACTGTAAGAGGAGAAGGTTATGAAAATATTAATAATAGGACTTATGCACCTAATATTTTGATGATGGAAAATGCTTGAAAGTATATTTAAAAAATAAAACTGCTATTTGGATTTTTAAAATAATATAAGTTAGAAAAACAATATATGAAAATTCATCTTTTACTTTAGAATAATATTTGAGTGAATGCAAAGATTGATTTGTAGGTAAAATTACAATAATTTTAGGATGGATTTAAACTTTAAATCCTATTTAAAAAAAAAAAATATTTATGAAAATTTCCTCATCTGATTTGATGTAGGGTGTATTGAAAAACTACTGCTCCAATAATTTATCAAAGCATCACACAATACAAAGAGTGGTTGCCTTATTGCACATGTGTTAGTTTACTAAAAATAAGAAAATTAAGTGTGTGTTTGTCTAACAAATGATTATGATAACATTTGAAGAACAATGCTGGAGTACATTTACAAGATTTATTGAAAATGGGAAAGTTGTAGAAAAGGGTGCTTATAAAGTTTGAACTGATGCACATCCTTAATTATATTTTTGGCACTAT